ATAGCAACTCAAATAAATAAACGCTTTTTCCCTTCAAGATATTTTTATAGTATCGAAGTAGGTCATAAGGTAAATTTGCTAGATTGAAGATTTGCAGATTAACAAATGTGTATATTGAGAAACAGAAATACAGTAAAATCGGTCAATGTGATGTGAATTAAGGTTGTGTGATTTGGGGTACCATTATCCTTCAACAATATCAGCTGTTGCCAAAACATATTTAGTAATTAATCAAAGTATAAAGAAAAATCTATTGATTTGAAAACTGGTTTTATAGTTTCAACACCAAGGACTCTAGATCTTGTATGGGTTTTTCTTACCATTTAAGAACCCCCATCAGTCTTCAGGATGAAGAAGAGCAATAACAGCCCTCAGCTTTCTTTCCAGTATTTCTATGTGAATATGTGTCCCATATCTTCTGTTTTACAATTGAAGAAAAGGACATTTACAATGGGATAATAAAAAATCTTGAATCTAAAGACTTAACATGAAAAAAGTTAAAAAGAAAAAAGAAAAAATACACAAAAAGCTTTTCAAACCATGATAACTCTAAAAGTAGAGGTGAACTCGACAGTTTCAGAAGGGTATACCTAATTCTCACTTCACTACAAGCACTTGTCTTGTTTGACATTTGAAAATGAAAATATGGTGTGATAAGTCATATCTTCTAATGTAGCAAGTTTTTATAGTAGTACATCACACACACACACTGAATTTAACTTACCTGAAATAAACAGGGTTACATGAATAAAGGACAAATTATGTTGTATAGTTCAGGTCTTGCATAAAATTCCCAAGACTGTTATATTTGTATTGTTTGTGTAGAAGACATGTTTAAGTTCACAATTATTAGAAAACCACATCATAACTAACAACAAAGCATTTTATTGAGAACCATTTGCCCAATAATGACCAATTATATCCTGTCCAGTGCACTTTTTGTCACTTGGAATGTTAAGTACCCAGTCAAGTGATCATTGATAAAATTGATTAGATTTGCATTAATTGTTTCAGTTTAGTAAACATTAAACAGCTTTGTTTGTTGTGGAGTATTTTATAAGAGTAGAAACTTCTGACTGGTCCCTTCAATTATGTCCCAGTCAAAGGTTGTGACAAGTCATCCTGGACAACCTATTACAATAGAAAGGTCAGACGTGTGACAGATAATGAGACTGTTTGGACACACCCTATAATCAAATCTCACTTATGTACATCAACTACTTTTAAATTACTGATATTAAATATAGGAGGTCTGTTGAACCTTTCATTAAGACCGTCATATGTGCACTGTCCCTTTACCTTCAAGGTGTGAGAGACTAAAAACCTTTCAGATACCTGAAAAAAGACATTTTTAAAGTTTTTGATTTTAATCTTGACACCTTTGAAAAACTATAATTATCTTGACCAGTTAAGGTCAACAATGAGGTGGTCAGACAATAAGGTAAAAAGATGTTTGTTTATTTTCTGCTTAAAACTCATTAATATCTTTCAAATTATTATTTGAAAAAAAATATATGGAAAATTTCTCAGTTTTGATGCTATCAAACTCCACATGTTTATTATAATTTCAGCTACTTTATACTTGATAAATGTGTGTTGATCCAGTCTTCATTAATCATCTTTTTTGTTGACCACAACTGCCAGAGGCTAAGTCCAGATGGACATCTTAGTGGCTGAACATTATTTAATTTGTCTGAAGAAATTTATAATTAAATCACATAGCAAATTTTTGAATCCTTTTTTTATTCAGTCTTAATTTAAATAGAGTCCTATAGCCTCTAATTCAGAAACTATGAAAACAGTTCTCAAGTTATAGTGTGAAAATGGCTTGGAGCGGGAAGTCTGCCCACCCATTACTTGTACTACCCAAAATGAAATTTTAAAATTTTACAGTAAAACTCCAGTAATTCTCCATTTACCATGAGAAACAAAAGTATTTCCATCTCACTCAGGGAATGTTTTAGTTTACCTAAGTTCAAGAAAGTTCTGTGCTTCTCTTATATTTTTTCTTGGGTCTACTGTATGGGAAATTTTACTTCCCTTTGTGAGCATAGTTATGCAGGTATTGGAGCATGGGTGTGCAGGTTTGGGAGCATGGATATGCAGGTATGGGAGCATGGATATGCAGGTATGGGAGCATGGGTATGCAGGTATGGAGAACATGGTTGTGAATTTGTAAGCTCTATTATGTGTCTGTGAAATTGGACAGATTAGTATGATAACAAATTGATTTAAGAAGTTTCTGAAAATAAAATCCTTGAAGTTAGTAATTTAGAAAAGTTTAAACTATGATAAATTTTTTAATGGTCAACAATTGAATACAGGTTTTTAATTCACTAAAATTGTAAGAAATTGAAAAAATGTGTTCCATGTCTGTCATATAATTAGGTCTTTGAACTTTTTAACCTCAGTTAAAGTTTTGTATTTGGACAGAAGTTTACTATTAATGTATGTAATAGGGTCTTATTCATGTCAGAGTAGTATGATACTATTCATTTTATAATCAGTGACGACAAACTGTGAATGGATTATAAATATTAATATGCCTAATAATTAAACATTGGTTTGCGTACCTGTATTACTGATAATACCTATGTTACCTGTTGATGACTCATGTCATGGAATGTGTTGATATATAGGTTGCTTGACAGTTAACTTGGCTTATCTGTGTCTATTTTGAGTTTGTCTTTGGTCAATGGGTCAGTTTGATCTCACTAGATCAGTTACTCCTCTGGTCACCTTATCTAAAATATATGTCTTGTACACCATGGTAGTAGTTGTGGTAACACTTCTGTCAAAACATGACAAAACCATTGCAATTTTGCAAAATCATCGAAATTGCATTTGATTTTTTTAAATATATTTTTTTGATTCAGGAAGCACTTGTATACATTCTTATAAAATTGATAGTTTTTGGCTTAAATTCCATTGGCTATCCTTATTATATAAAAAATATTCTCTTGCTCAAAGGACAAGGTACAATGATTGATTGATAGCTATTTGCATATTGTCCAGTGGCAAGTATTTACTGAATATTCAGGACAACATATGGTACAATGATGGTTTGCTTAATGTCCAGTGGAAAGTATTTCATGAGTATTCAGGACGACACAAGGTACAATGGCAAAAAACTGTTATAAAAAGATTTGATTTTATGATACAGGAAGCGAAAGTTTGGTTTGTTTTTTAAGGTCCGTTTTATGCAAATTATACAAAAATTAGATATAAATGTTCACAATTTCACCAACTTGGAAAACAAATTTCCCCAGATCCACTGTTGGAAGTAGCTGAAAGAAAAAGTTTTTCAACCTATTCTGACAAAATGCCTATTGTAGAGATCAGACTCATGAAACAATCAAGTTATTTAGGTGTTTTCTTACTAATTGATTATTTCACCATATCAAAATACTTTATTGATAGATTATATGCATTGTAGTGTTTGACATCCATAAGAAAGAGTCGTAATAGTCTCTGTTTGTACCTTGTCCTTTTTCATTTTTTCCCTGTAGTTTCTGTTCTCTAATGTAATGTTTTTGTTAATTGGAGGTTAATCTTTTAGCAAATTTAAGGCTGTTCATGCATGCAGAAAATTGAGATTTTAACTTTTTATAGGCAAATTTATAATAAGGGTTATTTGAATAGAAATAAAACTAGCCATTTCGTGATGATTTCTTTGAAACCAGTTATTAGCTGTAGAATTTATTTATAATTGAGAACTCCCAAGTAGAACTCCAAGGAATTTGCACAAGGCCATTTAGGGTATCAACTTTTTTGTATCCCATGATTGAAATTAGATGACCAAGAAAGAAGTTTATTATTAGAAAGGGGTGCAAAAAGCTAGATTTGATGAAAAGGCTCTTTTTATGAACAATGATATATTTAGCAAAGCAAGGTATTTTTGTATTAAAATATAAAGCTTTTTTGTTTTATAGATTTTGTTATTAATATTTTTCCCATAACTGATTTTAAAGAATATTGCATGTTTGTAACATTTTAGTTTGAATCAGGTCAGATATCAGGGTTATATTCAAATGTTTTAATATAATTACCAGATCATTGTTTGAATTTTGGCCTAATTTTTTCAATGGACTAAAGTAAAAGAAAAAAATTCAGATCAGGGTCAGGTTTCACACTTGACACAAAAATTACCTGATTTGAACCTTAACACCTGTAAAAATTAGGGCCTGTCATATTGTTATTTATATCTACTGCCTTGATTTATTGGGTGAAGTTCATACCCATGATCAAATAATGTTAAAAATAATTCCTTAATTGCTTCATTAGTGAAATAGCTGGAGAGTATTTACCTCAACAAAATTTGGAATCCTGTAGTTTTCCATTTAGAAATAGAAAAGTTTTTGTTGTACAACATTAAGGCTGTTAATCGCTTTACTTTTGATTAGATATCTCATTCTTGTATCCATGATAGTAAATATGAAAGTTAATTTGTATCTGAAAATAACAGCGGTCTCGTGAACATCACAAGACTTCTACCCAGCACAGCTTTGCTGGAACTAAAATACTTTCAATGAGCATACAACCTTTCTATATTATTTATGTTATACATAGAATTAAAGACCATACTATGATCATTGTGTAGTAAGATTTGGATTTTATTTTTTGTTAAGTTGCTGCCTCATTGTTATTTACTCAATATATCTACTTATAAAGACAACAAATATATGTAACTGCTGAATAAAAAATAAACTTGTTAAGACATCCAATCTAAACCATACCATGTTTGGGTGGTCTTATCTTTGATTTACTTCATCTGTTGTGTTAATTATTACTATTAATATTAGTGATATTGACTGGATATACATATGTTACGCATGTTTTTCATTCTTATTTATCGAAAAATTACTATAGATTTTGTATAAAACTGCTTATAAGGGTTTTAAATCATGTTTGAGATGATCCTCACAAGGAAGGTGTCATGGCATCTCATATGAATTTGAAATCTAGTTCACTAACATTGGTTTTTTTTAATTATATTTCAGAAGATTATAAGCATACAAAGAGAAAGGAAGAAGAGAATTCTAGTTTAAATGACAATAATTTTAATTCATCTGTGATGTTAGAATCTAATTCTTCATATTATAAAAGTAACAATAGTGCTCATCATATTCATAAACGTTCCACGTCATATAAACGTTATGTCGAAGTTATGATTGCTGCAGACTATCATATGCAACAGTATCATGGCAGCAATTTACAGCGTTACATATTAACATTAATGGCAATCGTAAGTATTCTTTTATTTCAATGATAAACTAATCCATACAATATAAGTTCACATAACTGTCAAAAAGTCCCAAATTCAAGACATATGAGATGAATGTGGTTTCAATTACTTTTGTGGGTGCTAATTTCTTGGATCAAGGAAAAAAATTTGGGTGGTTTTGACAAGTATTCCATAACAGTTAATGGAATAATTGTATTCTGTTGATAATGCAATTTGGTTAACCAGAAAATTGTTGAAAATATTAGTTCTCCACAAATAAAATGAATTCTCTATTTATGAATACACTACAATTAAATTTATTATTTTTTAGTGAATGTGCATAGGGGAGGAAACACACATCCTTTAAGCATGCTTAACATATACTGTACTGCCATTGCATTGAATAAAAGAAAGACTAAAATAACAGTTTTGAATTTGATATACTACCTTCATATTTGAATCTATAAGCAAAATTATATTCTAATAATTACTAGATAGTTTGGTTTTTCTTTTAACATTTTGAAATATAGGTACTTCCAATAATAAAAAGATTTATTTTACATATATATTTCAGGTATCCAGTATATATCATGATGATTCTATAGAAAATTTCATCAATATAGTTGTAGTAAAAATTGTACAGTTTGAATCTGAACAGGTAAGAATGGCAGCTTTAATTCCATCGGTAATCTTCAGATTTATTACAGAAAAGAATTATAAGTATTGTGTAAATAAATCTTTTCCCCCTAAATAGGTATGAAAAATCAGTATTTCCAATGCTAGATATCTACTTTTTAATTCTGAATAAAAACCGCTGGTATCCAATAATAGAGTACAATTTTAAGGTATTTTGAAATGACAATTTTTAATCAAATGATAAATTCCTAATTTTAAGATAAATTGTTTTGATTTTAAGCAATATCTTTTTATTGGGAAATAGTGGTTTAATGATAAACCCCAACTGTGGTCAGGTACACAGACCACAGTCAATGACAGAGTATCGCTTGCTTGATCTCGCGGTCATTTCCTGGTCCACTCATTAATATTCTTTTTTTCCCTAGCTATATGACAATAAAAACCACAAGTTTTTGTCTGTTTTTGACCATCTTCATTTATCATGGAATGATTGTTATATTGTGTACATGACAATAGGTTTTGGTTAAACCCTCTGTATAATGAAATGGGATGATTGAAAAATTGAAGTATTTAATGCCGACAAAGAGACACACGTTGATGGTAAAAAATGATATACATTGAGTCCACACACAGGCTGACCATGGTGTTATAGTATTAATGGCAGGACATACACCTTAAATTAATCAAAATAGCTACATGATACTAGTTGTATTACTGTCCCATTCATAAAAAGTGATGATACGGTAGATTTAAATCTAGGGCTTATAAACGTTTGAGTATATCACTGGTATGATATTCCGCTGAGTGTTTTTGTTAGGGACATGATCTACTGTTTTGTTCAGTTTCGTTAATCCTTTAGACCACTTGCAATCCCATGTATTTAATACTAGAGAGGTGGGTCTTTTTTTACTTCAGATCCTGCTTTAATGAATTAGAAATTGTTTGACTTCAAATTTCAGTTATTAGAAAAAAGACAGTCTACATGTGTGTCCACAGCTGTGAATTCTTGTCAACCTGATATTATTTTGATACTAGTAAACAAAAATTTTGAGGTCCTGTTTGTTAATATATAGCTCCTAACAGTGATCTATTTATACTTCCTTGTCTAATGTTTAGGTTTGAGCTTCCAGACACATGAAAGTTATAAAGTTATTTTCATTGACTAGCAATGGGTCGATACCATTGCTGGTGCATAGTTAGTCCCAGCTCATCATCAGCTCAGTAGTCAGTGCTTGGGTACAAACTAGATTTATAACATTCTATTCCTTAATTCCCCATTGATAAGGTTCCACATCTCTCTTTTTGGTCATAAAGCTCATAACATTGCTTTGTTTTTATACCTCCCTGGCTTAATAATGGTTTCTTTTAAAGGTAAATCCATATAAGCACCTCAGATGCACTAAATTTACAAAGCATTATTTTCATTAAATGGGATTTTTAAACTGACCTTATTTTGATTTCACTTAATTTGTATTTAATAGATACTGGTAAAGGGGAAGCTTAGAATTACTGTTTAATTGCTTTTTCTTCAAATATCCTAAAGATTTTCTGATATTTTATGACAAAAATACAAAGAGTAATTAAGTGTCAAATGTTTGTTCTATTCTAATGGTTATCTCTTTTTAAAAATCAATTAGTGGATGTTAAGTATGGTTACTTCAATCATTTTCTGTCACTTAATTGACAAACCACAGGTAAAATTTCACAGGTAATTGTGCGGTTATATCTTGTGTATTATTTTACTGTTTAAGAACTGAAAACAGAAGATAGTAGAGTCTTCTATTTCTGTCAAACCATGACTGAATTGTCAAGATCGAGTCCCATATCTTTGCAGTCCATCGGCTAAATTGGTTGGAGTTACGTCTTAAAGCGATATAGGAAATCAGTCTTTGTTTGACATGTCTTTCATAAATCTTCTTTTAAAATTATTGTAGAAGGTACAAACTTGCACCTGTTACTCAATCAATTTCTTATTTTATGTTCCTTTATTTAAAGAAATGCCAAAGGTGAAAATTAGAACAATAAGAGGTTATTACTTGTAACATTATAAAAAAAATACTATTAGTAGACCACAATTACCTCAAAAATGTGATTATAACTTTGATACAGGTTTTGTACTACCCATTTAAAATAGAATAATCTGTTTTGCCTGAAGTCAACTTTTGCACATCTCTGTCACTGAAAGAGTTTTAATCAAAGGTGTAAGTTTCATATTAAGTGATGCACCAGTAAACTAAATGTAGACAAATGTAACCTACACCAGTTTTTATAAACACAGGTATCTCTTTGATATATTTATACAGGTAAATGCTGTTACGAATCTGGTGGGTCTTAAATTCCCATTTTACTTGTGGTTGCACATCTAAGGTGACATTTCCTTTTAGTCTTATTGTTTTATTTTATTCTCCAGACTGAAAAATGGTATGATTGTTATCTGTTCATGAGGCTAGAATTGGCGATTATTTTACGTACCTTAAGTAAGATCCCTGACATCAGCATTAGAGAAAACAGAATTATACGATCTACGATCAGTTTTCTTTTATCGTGTTGATCCAAGGAGTAAAAAGACATTCCGTAATATATGTACATAATACTATAGGTTAAATGCTATTATATTAGTCTGTGTTTTGCATTATAGGCAAATTATACCATTTTGTTTAGGTGGGCCCACCGACTGATATCTTTTTTCCAAAATATATTGGTCTTTTATGATAAATTCAACAGAACCTGATATATTTAATGATAGTCTTTAATCATTTTAAGTTGAATACTTCTTTTATTAGCAATATGTTCCATATTTAGAGTCTCTTTAGAAATTTAAAAGTTACACTTACTCTTTGAATAATATGGATTTTATGAATTATTATTAATCTATTGAACGTGTAATAATGTAAAATGCATTTAGATGATTTTTGATTCACTGAGTTAAAAACATGACTTGGATGAAATTGAAATATATTTTTATCTGTAAACCACAGATGATAATATGATGAAAAAGTTTACTAGGCTTATTTTTCTCTGTTTTCTAAAAATGTCCTCAGACAGTGACAGATATTAGAATTATTATTATTGCAAGGGAGATCTGTTGTTTATAGATTAGTACTTTAGAATATCCAGTTCCTTTCAACTAATTGAGTTATTGGTGAAATATTTGAAATTGTTTAAGAAGAATGAAATTTCTCATAGTTATTAAAGAATGAAAATGATTTGAAGTTTGAATCTTCAAGTTTAGCTTAACAATAAGTTACCGAATCCATATATTTGATAACTTTAATCTAGGTTGTAAATTATGTATCAATTCAATGTCAAGTTTTCTAATAAAGTTCTAAAAGGATCATTTTGAGTTTATTTTGGTGTTCTAATAGATATGCTACAGTTCTGCTGAGTCAGCATTAAAGTACATTCATAGTAAAGTTACGTGACTGTTAACAGTTTTAAGTTATAATTAGATTGTCATCAGGATGAAAAAAAAAACCATAATTTATTGATGATCTTAATGATTTTATACATCATAGGATGATATCTAATTTTCATACCTTTTTAGTGATATAATTATATTTTTTTATCATGGAGATCACTAATTATATGTAATTATTACACAACATTTTTCTTAAAGTATGCTCATTTAAATGATGAAAATGATTTTGTTTCAAATAGCAGTGGGACATGAAGATTACGCTTTTGATTATTACAAGGTTAATGCAGCTTAGGTTAGTGGGAGGGTTGAAAGCTCACAAACACGTTTAATCCCGCCACATTCTTCATGTACCTGTCCTAAATCTGGAGCCTGTAATTCAGTGGTTGTCTTTGGTTGCTGTCTGACATATTTGTTATGACATTGGAAGATATCTAGATAATTAATTACCAAATACTAACTGAATATAACAATTTAAATAAAAAAATGACTTGAAATTGATTACAACATTGAAATTATTACGAGGTTTTTATAATTGCGAATAATGCGACTGGGTGAGTATCGCAATGATAAGACATCACATTCTGATATCTGATACACATATCTGTATGCAGCTTTTTCTGAAATCACAATTGCTGATTTTGCATTTTTGTCCATTCTTCAAAAATTGCAATAATGAATGCCCACAACAATATCTGAATTTACAGTAAATAACAAAATATAAAAATACCACCAGAATTGAACAGAATTAATCAAATTTAGGAAACTTTTTTTTATAAAAATTGTTTAAATGACCAACGGCATTAAAATGTCACCTTTAAACTATGATAATGATCTTTTATCATGATAACCTAAATTGAAATTCCATGATATTTTAAAGCAAGAATAAATTACTTTATGGACATAAGTTGACATTTTTAATATAGATTTAAACATTAATATGAGAAATTTTGTGTCTTAATCTATGTTTTGTACCTATAAAAGACTTGTATGAGAGTTTCAGATCAAGTAGTTTTGTACTGTTTTGTACCAGGTTCTATTTAATGTGTTATAAACATGTGGATTGTCCTGAGGCTGATTCCACACCAAGTTTATTCATTCATTACGATTTTAGCAAAATATTTCTGTTTTTGTTGTCTATTTAAATCAAACTGATTATGTATGTATTATTTATGAAATTAACTTAGTACATAGTTTTTAATATGGTATCACCGGAGTTGTCAGAAAATAATCCTTAATCTTGTTTTGTCTGTTTAGTTCACTGTCTAGTCAAGATAAATTCTCTTTGGGATCAGCCTTTATAGTAAAATGATTGTATTGAAATGCAGCTGAAACTCCTTCAAATGTGCAGCTCAAGTTTTTGTCAGATTTAGATATAATATGGATTTGAAACCATGAAAATAAACTTGTACATTTTTTTGTATTACCTCAAATTGTTCTTAATTGTATTCATTATCCCTTAAGAAACTTCTTGTCTCAGTCATAAAAAAATCAGATTGGCTTATTGACTTAAATTCTCCTCCTGTGATTTGTAAATCTTGAGTTTTAAATAAGGTTTTATGATTAATATTTGATTATTCTAATTTATTTAACCAGTATTTTTAGAGGGTTTATGATCAATAGTTTGGTAATTTTTTTAGTTACTTATTGTTAACTAAATCTTGTTGCTTCGGACATTGAAAACCTATAAATTAATATTTGATCTGATTGTTTTACAGAATGGACCTAAAATATCAACAAATGCACACAAAACATTGGAAGAATTTTGCAAGTGGCAGCATATACAGAATGAAGATAGTGATGATCATCCATATCATTATGACACTGCAGTATTACTTACTAGGTAAGTGTTAAAACAGATAAAGGCAGGCAAGACTTGTAGGCAATATGGTTACCATAGAGATGATCATCCATATCATTATGACACTGCAGTATTACTTACTAGGTAAGTGTTAAACAGATAAAGGCAGGCAAGACTTGTAGGCAATATGGTTAGCATAGAGATGATCATCCATATCATTATGACACTGCAGTTTTACTTACAAGGTAAGTGTTAAAACAACTACTGGCAGGCAAGATGATTACTATAGAGATGAACATCCATATCATTATGACACTGCAGTATGTGTTAAAAAAATACCAGCAGGCAAGAATTGTAGGCAAGATAGTTACCATATAGATGAACATTCATATCAATATACCACTGTATAGTTGCAAGGTAATTGTTGAACAGATACAGGCAAGGTTTGTAGGCAAGGTGGTTACCATAGAGATGATCATCAGTATCATATGACACTGCAGTATTACTTACAAGCTAAGTGTTGGACAGATGTGGGCAAGTCTTAGAGGCAAAGTGGTTATTAACATTTGTTTGTCTAAACATGGGTTTTTGAACTGTGTAAAATTGGAATATAACAAGTTGAGAGTAATCTTTATGATAATATTTGACCCATCTGGTTTATTATGATTATTTAGATTGAGTATGTTTCTATCAAACATTAGAGATGATTAAATAGTGAAGCTTGGACCATATTTCCTCCATAAAATATAATGTCTGTCTGAGTATTTACATTTCTACATCAGACTTATGGATAATTTTGATTACCAGTATTTATTTAACATCTCAGTAATGAGAAAACAAGACTCTTTGATTGGCATATTGTTTGGTTTTGTTTTGAAATAAATGCTTTTGTTGCACATGATTGCAATGGTAGATGGTCAGTAGCCTTTGAAGTTTACATCTGACATTATGATTTGATTGAGAAGTTGTCAGTATGTTATGATGGACATCATAACAGTTGGCTGGTCAGTATTATTCCAAAACCTGGTCAGGTACTTCACTGGTACTAAACATGATTGATAAAAAAGTTGTTAGTGTAATTTTATAGATCATAAAACAGGTGGTTTGTTTTGCAACATAACCTGTGCTGGGTCACTGAGCTTGGTCTTGCTTTATTTTATGTTTCTGGTATAGATATAAAGCTTATTTCTTTTCTTGGTGAATAAAACTTAATGGAATTAAAGATTTTAATTTCTGTATAGTACTGTCCTGGGACTATTATACTAACGGGACTGGAAACCGTTACACCAATCAGTGTAATAATATCAACATCACGGTTGTTAGAACGAGACTTTACCTGCGCTATTTATCGATATGCCATATTGTTTTGACAGTGACAGCGTGCCTTGATCTTATAATTTCCGTAATTTGTTTTTTTATTTTATAGTTATTAGAAATGATAATCCTTAATATAAACATGATTACAATAATGATAAAAGATATCTCGATCTTTGACAGTTGTTATTAATCACCAAATCCCGTCTTAAGTGTAAAAAATGACACATACAAATTGAAATTTTCAGGATGAAAATAGCGTGGGGACAATGTGGAAAAAAGTATATGATTCATAAAATTTCTTATAACTGTTGATTGAAAAGAGATACGCAAGTTCTGTTTGTTGTAAAATCATATTTATAGGTTATAGTTTGGATTTGCCTATTTTTATTGTCACTTTTTAAAATAAAAAGTGGAATTTAAATCTCTTTCTCATTACAACTGGAACCCACATGCGCGGCTCAAATAAATTATACTGTTCCTATAAAATTACCTACTCCTTTTTATGTGTACAATATTTTTAATATAATCAGGGTTAATTTTGCTCAGTAATGGTCTTCTGGTGGCATTAGCATATGACTTCGTGAAAATATGTACACTAGGTTCCATAATTAGAACTAGAAAAGTAGGCCCGTTCACATCCATATTGAAATTTTGGTGTAAACACGAAGTTCACAAAAGTTCAAAACAATGTGGCTATATCTTTATGAGACCTGGGTTACTTTTGTTATATGAATTAATTATGAACTGAAATTGTAAACATTGTTTTTATTGCACACTTATTGTTTTTATCAGGATTAATTATGATCTGTTAACCTTTGACATGTTGTTTTCTTAGCGGTCAAGTAAAGTGCTGGCATTTCGACTACATCTGGTTTATTTTCAACACTAATATATTGACTACTTATATAATAATTTTTCGTAAACAATATATATTTTTTGCATATAAACTAATTAAATTAATAATTATCTTTTTATTTCAAATCCACCAATTTTAACAGTATTATATATATGCTGACTTGTTTGCCGAATTCTGTTGTTTACATTCATGTACCGGATGCTTATTTACTATGTGACACGATAAGCTGTCAATCAAAACAAAAATCAATAATCCGCTATCGGGGCAATGAATTCTCAACAGATCGATCAGTTTCCAGTCCCGTTAGTATAATAGTCCAAGTACTGTCATTCAAAAAACATACATAGCTAAATTTAAAGATAAGCCATATTGTTTAAGTTCAGATACATATGTGTCCCTCTTTACATATGGTAATAACATTATAGTTCTAATGACATTGGAAGGTGTTAAATGTCAGTGGTCAAAGGTCAAGGTCACAACATTTTGGAAAAGTTCATTATGTTTTTGGTATCACATCCAGGTACTGTCAAATAATAATAAAAACTTTTAATATTGTTGCATATAAAAACATGAATCTTATTAATACCAAAGGTATTAAAGATAAACATCACATAAAAAGATGTAGTTCAGTGGAAATGGAATACTGTTTCTTCTGTTTTCAGTTTTTCAAGTTATGCTTGTCCAGCTTTAATAAATATGGACTGAAATAAAGCATGTTTATGGTCAGTAATCAATGATCAGTATTTTGTTTCTGTAATTTAGTTTCAATGACAAGACTGTCTGATGAAGAAGAAACATACCAGTTATTTTTTTAGTTGGAGTCATGAACTATCACAGATTGAATTATACATTGGTTTCTGATTGAAAGAAAACAATGTGTTTTGTATTGAGATGTTATTAATGCTGATACAACTATTGTTTGTGGACATGCATCTTGGTCTGAATCTGTTCTTTGTCTCTGAGAAAAGTTTAGACATAGAATTTGTGAATGAGAAGTGAAGTGACTATTTTACTATTGAGCATGTTTCTCTTTATGTATTATTCATTGGTTTTTGAAAACTAAATATTTGAATTCTTTTTTTCTGTCCTTATTGAGAAATACTGTGTTATAAAATGCCCTTTTAACTGTCACAATACTAAGGAAACTCAATATCAGAAACATACTTGAGTGTTGACATGTTCTTTGATTTGCTAAAAGGTGCTGAAAATTCCCAAAAAAAGTAATGTTTGTTTAGCAAAAGCAGTCTTATAATAGAGGAGACTATCTGGTCACTACCCTTTCTTTAGATACTGTTTTTTCCTTTTATTTCTCTCATCTGATTTACAGTAGCTCATTTTTCATGACCGAATTAAAAAGTAAACAATAAATTCCAATTTTTATTGGGTTTTCAGAAAAATTAATTGTTAATTTTCTCCTTTCTTAGTTCACTGACATTTATTATGTTGGGTCACTGACTGAGTTGTCCACCTCTTTTCAATATTAGAATTTTCACACCTTCAGATAGAAATCTTACCCTTGTATAAATCACGGCCTGTATTAAAATCTAGGCTATTTTATCTAAAATTTATGTTTTGATGGGTCTTGTCTCCAGCTGATGTACAGGCTATATTATAAAAGAAAGATGAAAATAAGAATGTGTGAAAACTAATGCTGATTAAGATAAGAAATTTTATGCTGTAATAAGTATGTTCTAGTTACAAGGCTAAAGACCTCAACCCTAATTAGAGGAAGATAACAAAGAATTGTTTTTTTGCAATAAATGTAACATAAGTCAATGAAATTGAACAAAAATCTGTGTCTGTTTCTAATGGCATTTCTTTGGCATTTATTTTTCGGTCAGAAAAAGTAGGTTAGTGACCCTTGGACCATCTTTGTGGACATGAGATGGGTGTAATAACCACAAAATTTAAAGAATTGATGGTAATCCCTGTAGATATTATAATCCATATACCTAGATACAATATACCATTGAAAATATTCTGCTTATCACAATGATAATTAAGGGTGGACTAAACTGTCAGATTTATAACTAGTCACATGTTCATATAAGTGGATTAGAAATCCTACTTATAACACCAAGATTATACTGTGGATACCAAACTTTCTCTCAGATATTTTGAAAGTATGGTCAAAGATTAGCATCTGTCATGAATTTCATAAACAAAGCCTTACATTTCAGTCAAAGGAATATTTTTTACTTAAATATCTAAAAGACAATTCCAGAATTCTTTATTTATTTTTAGCCTGATATCAACATTCTCACTGTTGAAATATTTTAACAATAGTTTAATATCAATCTAGCCATACTCTGATCCAAGAAATATAAAATTTGATACTACCTTTCCAAAATGTCTTTTTACCTGAGTTACTACGTTCTACTGCAGCAGGTGTAGATCCAGGGTTTACAGGGAAGGGGGCATTATTGTCCTTAGGGGTAAAAAGAAACATGGTGAATATGTTTTGGTGATTTTATGATTTTATGCACCAAAAAAAAAAAAGATCTGGTCTGATCAAACAGGGATGAACTCCCTCTACCCTCTCCACCCCCACCCGAATCCACCACTGTGCAGTACACTGTATATTTTGAATACTGGTCACGCCTTACGACAGTCTGTGAGTCAGTACTATAAGGAGACAGTATTAATCCACATCAGCATAAAGGTTATTGGAAGTTTTGATAAATAGTTTATTCAACTATCTGTAGGTATATTTTGAAAGTTATAGAGAAGGTCAGTATTCTTTGTGAAATATTGCTTGTCTCTTTTCTCTTTAGGAGATCACACCAAATCTTGTTTTATTGTGAAGAATCCTGCTGTTTCTCTTGGATTGGCTGACTTGAGATTTATTATTCACAGCTTGAGAAGCATG